GTTTTCCATCTATCAGGAGAGCGAATCTGGTACCATTAGCCTGGGGTTTGAGTTTACAGGTTAGTGCTATTTAACATCTGGATTGCTGATCTAGATGGAGATAACATTCGTTCGATGACATGCTTGGGGTGTTTCGATGAAAGAAATAATTGCTATCCACATTTGATAGTCACGGCAGCCGGTCTTCATAAACTATCAAGAAGCTTAAGCTGATTTGGTTTATTAGAATGTTGAGTGAGCTAAATGTTTCTCAACAGACTTGGACTATCTTGATATCTTAATATCGTGAATAATTGAACATGGTAATAACCGAGTTATTAGAAGAATGTGTATGTTTTCCAAACTTCTCGAATTCAATGCCTTTGCTTCTCGATGTCCAGCACATAAACAGAACCTTAGTCTATTTAGAATTCATGTATATTCTGATTGTCTCAAGTGTATCAATTCTAGTAGCTGAATGTGTCCTGATTGTAATTCGAAACTGCACAGGAACCTTGCGTACTTCATTTGAACCTGCTATGAAATCAGATCAGCAGCCCAATGTACGAGACCTCTTGAGTCATGTACTCTTCTAGTACATTGTACATTTCATTTTCTGCAGATCGGTGACAGGCTAATCTGCTGACGACTACGCCCTCCTCATGTTACTGGAAGATTACAGTCTACTATGGGAGCATTATCCTCCCCTTGTTTTCTAAGATACAAAACTGCCCATGAATGGAAGCACTGGAGCAGTCGCCTCTGTTTCAGGCTCGCCGACTAGGAGAGATGGGTCGCAACCTTGAGAAGGTCATGATAAACTGTAGAAAGACACAGGATTCATTGTGCGGAAGAAAAGAACTTGATTAGATGATTTGTAACACACTACATATATACTCGAAGCAAATAGTCTAAATCTAATCTACATCTGGTCAGGAGGAGAGTAAAAGTACAACACTCCATCTTACTCTGGTGCTTCTAGATTACAGAAGAATCAGATAGCTCTGCAGGAGTGCAAAAACTTAGTCTGCTACTCTCTGCTTCAAACTTGCTCCTACTCAAGGCTTTTGTCAGCATGTCTGCAGGCTGATCTTCTGTGGGTATATATTCTACATAAATATTAGCCGATTCCACCTTTTGTTGACAGAAATGCCAGTCAAATTCAAAATGCTTAGTCTTATCATGAAAAACAGGATTATTGGCTAATTTGATAGCACTCTGATTGTCAACACCAATCCGGGTCGGATTCAAAGAATGACATCCAATCTCTTCCAATAATCTTTGAATTCAAATCGCTTCCGTCGCGTACAAGCTTAAAGCAATTGTACTTTTAGCTTGGGATTCAGATTCACAACCGGAACGAGCCTTGCAACTCTGTTTCTTGGATTTTCACAATTCTGATGAGGATCTAAGGTGAAGAGGTAGGCGCTAGTGGAGATGTTTTTGTCAAGGTCTGCCGTGTATCTGGCATCAAAATATCCTTGAAGATGGTCATCGTCCCCATTGTCATAGAAAATGCCATATGAGGGATATCTCTTAAGGCGACGTAAGATGCATTTAACAATTGCAATTGAACTTCCCGGAGTTCGTGTATGTACCTACTTGCCTGATTGGTTGCTAATGCAATATCTGATCGCGTGAGGGTTAAGTACAGTAGCTTCACGACACGAGTGTTGAGTCCACGGAAGGAGTACCGGGCTCGCTTCCAAGCAAAACACCTTCATTGAGCGGAATAAAACTTGGTCCACACTCCAAGAAGTAAAATTTGTTCAAAATGGATAAAGTATAAGACAAAATTAACACCAAGATACTTGGTGATGGGACCAAAATAAATCATAGGGAAGTCTGCCATCAGTGATGTGGCTAGCTCTTCTAAAACACAAATATTGCTCCTTGTAAGAAAGAGGTCATCAACATACAACATCGAACAATCCCATCAGATTGTTGTTGTATTTATATATTCCAATCATCATGATTGTGTCATGTTTTTATCTTGTAATGCTTCATCAATTCGATGGTACCATGCACTAGGGCTCTGACGGAATCCATATAGTGTGTGTTTGAGACGGGAACAATTCTCGCTCTTGTCAAGTAATAACCAACCCTAGAGGTTGCTACATGTAAACTTCGTCGTGAAAGATCCCGTTCAAGAAGGCAGTTTGAGACGGCACATTTTTCGCTCTTTTTTTCACATTTTTCCATTTCAACACTGGTGCAAATGTTTCTCCGTAACCAATGCGTTGTTGTTGCTGAAAACCATGGACAATAACCAAAACTTGTATCAAGGTGATTGGGTAAGAGAGCCAAGCTTGAACTTAAAAATCCATCGTGCAATAATTGCACATTTTTTTTCACATTTTCCAAAGGTAGAGGTAGCAGTTTCCACGTGTCGTTTTGCAATCTGAATGCATATTCAGATCCCATCGCCGCAATCGAATTAGCATCATGACATACGTCATGGTCTTGCAAGTTGACTCCATCATCTGCTAGAAGACCATTGATGATATCCATGCTATTACCATAGAGACTGCAACAATTTAAGGATGCAAATGACAAGAAGCTTGTCATAATCCGCTTGATTTAATTATTAAAAAGAATTGATTCATCTTGTGATATGTCCGGAGTCATAAGCACTGAAGATTCATTTGCTTGATCACGATCATGATGTGTGGAGAAAGTCAGAAAGACATTAAGTGATTCATTGGACTTAGGAAAGTTACGCCGTTGGTATGTGAAAAGTTGCCTCGATTCACAGTCATTCTTCACGTTGGGCCGAATTTGGAATTTGCAAGTCGAGATCGCAATCAAGTTTTTTGGACTAGAATCAATGGAGGTAGAAATGTGGCGACTTGGACTTATCGGAATGAGAGAAATTGCTGGATTTTTGGATGAGCAACTTGAATGTCGAATGCCGAAAGTCAAAATGTCAATGTAGTCGCCGGTTGATCAACCGTCTCGGCTTGATGGATAATGCTTGGAAGTTGAGACAAAAATGTTTGTGTTAATTTAGATATTATTTAGTCAAAGGCTGATGCAACTGATGGATCATTATTGATGATTACCGTTGATGATGAGTCTAAATCAGATGTTGCAATAATCTGAACATCTCGTGATACTAGCACCTTTCTAGTACCAAGCTGATAACATCTATCAACTTTGGCACTCAGTAGAGTGTGAATCTAATTTACCTTGTTTGGAAGAATGCTAATGTACAAACACTATGCTACCAAAGAAACGTAAGTGAAATACTGGAGTTTTCTTACCTGTGAAAATCTCAGTAAGAGTGACATCAGGATTCCCCTTTCCCCTTCAATATTTCACATGCTGCTCAAATTGTCTCGATCAAAAGATGATTAGGCAAATTTTTGTAGATCAACAAGCATCTTGTGATGTTGCGGATAGATCGATTCCGTCTTTTGGCAACATCGTTTTGCTGAGGGATATAGGCAACATTTAAATGTCGCTTTATGCCGTGGGCAGAAAAATAATCCATGAAGAGTCAAGAAGTATATTCTTCAGCGTTGTCCGTACTTAGAGTGAACACGTTGAGTTGTAGTTGTTTCTCAACTTTTCGATGAAACAATTTGAACTTATCAAGACATTTATCTTTTCATATTAAAAAATAAACCCAAAAAAAAGACTATAATCTTCAACAAAAATAATAAAATACCTAGAGACTCTTAAAGAAAGAGTGCGAAATGAATCACAAATGTCTAAATGTATCAATTCGAGTGGGACTGTTGCACGAATGGTGGCACGTTTAGTAATCCGACTGTAAGCTTGTTTTCCGCTGATGCATGGATTTTCAGGGATGCTCAACACTTATAGTACTAAAACAGCTCCAGAGGTCATCATGTGTCCTATTGCATCGTTGTTGAAATGATCAAATCGTTGATGCCAAATCTCTGAAGCACTTGGTTTATTGATGATGATGTTTACTTCAGCATGTGTGATGGTGTAGTTTGTACAAGCCTTGACAATCCTTCCGAGAGGCATATGCAACAAACTTACAGGTTAATCTGTCTCTGATGAAGCATCATTGTGAAAGAAATTCAAGGGTGAGTCTGTTTCTAATGAAGCATACTTCTGAAAGGAACTCAAAACTGTGGTTTTTGTCAACAATCAACTCTATGGAAGGAAGATTTTTCCGAATGATGGGAGAATATAAATTCTGTGAAATGGTTTGTTTGTGTTCATTTGGTAGTTGTACACTTACACCGCCAATATCGAGAACATCATGTCCATGGTCACTGGCGGAGTAAAACGTCGGAGCACTTTTGAAGTTGGATGGTTGTGAACATTGATAAATTGCAAGTGATGTGGTGTGTGGCACCTGAGTCAAAGTGTTAATTAAAAGCTACTAATGGGTTTTCTTCCACAATATTTAATGTCACAGCAAGAACATAAGTTGTCGATGTTGACTTTGATGTCGATGTATAGAGTTGATCTAGAAGCTCAATAATGTATTTGGTTCTTCAGTTTTGTCTTCTAGAGAACGAACTTCGTCCACATGGACGTTGCTGTTTTTGCTTGTTATCAAGAAGATGATCCATGTCGTGCATCTGATCAATGATTGTCTTGAGATCGCATTCTCGGTTGACATGTCCTTCACAAAGACAAGTCACAGAAAATGTTCGCTCGAGGATGTGAAGTGCCCCTGGGTCGGAATTGCAGCTGATACGTCGTAGAACCACCTGCAGCTGGACCACCAAGACTTAAAGTAAAACCATGAGATGAATAGGACTGGGACTGATTTCGTCCAGGAATCGAACCACAACGAAACAGGTAACTTGACAGGTTTCTGTTATTGACAACATAGGTTCGGGAAGGGATCTTGTTACGAAGTCTATATTGCTGGATTACGAATGGCTCTCCTGACTTCTCTTCACTAACCAAATCTATTGTTATTTCTTTGCTCAGCGAAATGGAAAGAGTAAAACTCCGGAAAGAGGAATGAGAAGTACAGTACGAGGTGGAGCGCTCTGATACCATACACTTTATATCACCACACGACTCACTTTGCGGAAGATAAAAACTTGATTATATGATTTGTAACACATTGTATATATATATATATATATATACTTACTCTCGAAGCAACTAGTCTAAAACCCTAAACCTAATATCTATACCTATTTTACATCTAAAACCCTAAACCTAATATCTATACCTATTTTACATCTGGTGAGCAAGAGAGTATACGTCCAACATGTCACACCTGTCAGAGAGGATTCATCTCTGAATCCTCGCTGAAAGTCCAACTAAATTCATACGGGGTCGCACGCAACTGTGTCGGAAGAATTATGCTTAAAATCAGAACTATCATGGAACTGGAAACGAATAACACTAGCAACAAGTTTGAGCTTGTTGGCGAGTTCATTGCCAATGGCCTTTTGAATAGCAGATTCGGCGTCCTCACATGAACCGTTGTAGAGATCGTCATCCACTGGCGACTCCAAAAGCATCAACGATAATCCAAGAGAATCAGAATGTATCATGCGCCGCGATACTCGCTCAAGGAGCTCGCGACTGTACAGTCGAGGTACGCGCGGTGCACGCTTTAGACAAAGAAAACCTTCACCAGCTGCTCAGTGCACAAGTGCTTTCTTAGACCTGAAACCCTCCACTCAGAAGAATGACTATGATCTTATTTTCCGCATGCAAAGTCGGTTTTAATACATGTACTTTCGAGCATATTGCAGCCTGCTGCCTTCTCGCTCGTGACGGCAAGTCATCCTCCTTCTAAGCCGTAGTCTTGATTTGCGTCCGGAAGATATCTTCAAGAATATTTTTTCTGCTGCGTTGCAGTTTCTAAATAAGCACAGCAAAGGCACAGGCTGGGGCCGTGCAACGTGGAAGCAAAGATGGCCTCGAGAGCCGAAGTGGAGCTGCCACCGCCGGGATTCGAGCTTTCTGAGCTCAAAGATCCTTTTGCTCGAAGGGGACTACGAGCCAGGCAGATGGTGATTCTGTCCTGGTCACACACTGTGGGAAGGGGACACTGCGACCAATTCGTTGCGCGCCTCTACAACTTCGACTCTACCCATTTCTCGGATCCCACCATCGACTCTCCATCTGCCAACGAGGTCAAACACATATGCCCCATCACATTTCACCACCTCGTCCGCACCGAAGCCTGTAATAATTAAATGCTTCAGTTACTGAACTCTAATTTGTCCGTAATCGTGACCAGGTCAATATTCTTCTCGTATATTGCTCGGGCATGATGAACTTCACTTCTGAAATCAGAATAATCTCAACTGACACTTCAGGATTGCTCCAACTTCAACTATTCATAAATAGTGCAAGTTTGAACATCTAATATGTTTGATGCAGTATGCTGCAAGTCAACAGAGTCATCCACATGAGATTTAGGAATTGAAAGTCAACTTTCACTCCGATAACAAACGCAATTGCTGAGTTGAGCAAGAATGGTTGTCTCGAATGTCATAAACATTATTGTACAAAAAGGTTCTATGCTTGGAAAACATATTCTTACACAAACATCAAATTAGACAAATTCAATAACTCACATTATACCTAGAAAATGAGATGTATTTTATTCCATACAATAAAACCAATGTTGCAATGATGTCAGATCCTTGTAGGTTTTTTCAACAACTCATGGCCAATAAGAAGAACTAGATGCATCAATTTCCCACATGGGATTCTAGTTACTCAAAATTCATTAATCTTAACGACATCTCTTTCCACTGCGTCATGAGACTTACAATGACTTCTTGAAGTAATATGATAGTTTATAAGTGTTTTCTAACTTGAAAACTGGAATTTATTATGTACTTGAGAAATACTTCATCATTACTTCATTCTCTTGATTTCAATTAAAATCTTTCTCAATCGCATCTTCTAAATGATACTCTTGATCTAGCTGTGTAGAGAATTTACTTTAATTCATGTAAATCATGTCAAACATTTGGGGTATAAATACTTGAAAATAATTAAAAGTCAGTGCCCAAATTACATTTGAGTGTTGTGAAATAGAAAATATTCACGCAATTTTCGTTTTTTAGATGTCCTCATATCTCTAGAAAGTTATCCAAACGTTTTAGTTTTCACTTAAGATAATGTATATATCTTATATAAGATACATGTTGATTCCATGAGCATTCAATATTTTGCAAAAAGTCTTCTCACATTCGCAGTATCTTACTAGACATGAATACCGTCAGTCTAGGATACAACACAATTAATTATGTCTGATATGGATCACCCAATTTTTTTTAAACAATTGGAATTTTTTTTTAATATAAATCATCTAAATGATTGTAAGCAATGACTTTTGTGTCTTAAGGTGACAACATAGTCTTATTGGAAATTAAAGTACAGTTATACAAAAACATATCAAGTTACTTTTGAATCTAATCTCATACTTCATTAGAATCAAGCGTAATACGAGAGATGTACATATTAAGTACACAATATATCGTCGAATATAATGGCACCACTCCAGAACGGCCCCTCTCAACTTAGAGGCCTTATAATGAGTTGGGTGTGGAAATTAGTGCTTCCCTGAACTCTAATCAATTGTGTGAACACAGAACGCAGTATCACACTCGTACACAGGGAATGAGAGCCTCAGACTAGCAACGGGCTGAAAGTTAACCTCTCCAACCTCTGGTATGATAGAACAAATTTCAAACTCGGGGTACAATGATGTAAATTATGTCCGCACGTGTATGAGGGATAAACATGTCGTTCCTAAGTTGTGGGTTTGACAACATGCACTTCCATATTACATTGTACTCTAATTAATTCCACACATAAAAACAAGAATCAGAAGATGTCAGTAACTTTATATCAAAGGGTGGAACATCAAACTAAGCACTGATTAAGAAGACGCTGCTCAAACCCGCCGCCCAACGATGCATAACCTTAGGCCCTATGGACCACTTACAATTTTTGTTTATAGTTATCCTTCATCCCATCCGCTATAAGCGTGATCCATACCACGATGTATATTTCTGGGATCAGTATTGGCAGATCTGATCAAGAGAGTATAAATGCCGTAGAAGCATACTCCAGAAGCACACCTCAGCAAGGCTTCTCTTTCCAGTTCCACTCGGATCATTTCTTCTGATCTGAGGGAAGGAAATCTCCGTTTCTTTGGTGAGAGTTGACAAGAATTGCCAGGCACGTGAGGTATTCACATTTTCGAAAATTAGTCGACCAAATCGTGTTCATACGCTTTGATCCAACGAAAAAAAAGAGAGACATCGAGATATAACACCATGGCACAGTTCAGGATTCTTCTTCTAGCCGCCATCCTTATGTTCTCTGGAGTGGTGGTGGATGCTTATGGCCCCGGTGATAACGGGTACGTGGGATTGAGAGATGACTATTACGAAACTTCATGCAAGGACGTAGAAACGGTGATAAAGAAGGCCGTTCAAGCTGAACTCGCCAAGAACCTCAAGCATGCAGCTGGTGTGCTTCGTATGCATTTCCATGATTGCTTCGTTGAGGTAAGCCTGAGATTGTGTCTAAGATCCCACGTATATCCGGTCCATGAGCTCTTTGGAAGATCAAGGTTTCAGTTGCTCCAGTTTGATACTATTCATGAAGCATATTCTTGCATGTCCCCAGTCGTTTGTGATCATCAGAACCTGCATCTGTCGATGAACGTCAAAGTCGTCGAAGTCACGATGCATGCTGCTAATGGAATGCATGTTTTCGCAGGGCTGCGATGCTTCTGTACTTCTCGACGGGCCTGATACCGAAAAGACGGCTCATGTCAACGCGAAGCTCGCAGGATTTGAAGTGATCGACGCTGCCAAAGCTGCCGTTGAAGAAATCTGTCCTGGCGTCGTTTCATGCGCCGATATCCTTGCGTATGCAGCTCGCGACAGCACAGTCGAGGTACACGACCTTCATGTCTTAGAAAGATGAAACGTTTACCAGCCGCTGACTGCAAAAGTGGTTTCTGTGACTTCCAGCACGCCACTCAGAATTACAACGATCGTGTTTCCTCAAGAGAGTTGATTTTACTCCGTGTAATCCTTTTGATGTTCCAGAGCATATTTCAGCTTGCCGAGTTTTCTCTCTTAAAGGCAATTCATACGTACCGCTTTAATTCCGCAGTCTCCATGTGCATCCAGCATGATTTCTCAAGGACTAATTTGACTGCTCTGTTGCCACTCGTATCTCAGCTGAACGGCACAGCCTGGGCAGTGCAAGGTGGAAGAAAGGATGGCACTGTTTCTCTGGCCTCCAGAGCCGAAGCCGAGCTGCCACCGCCGGAGTTCGAGGTGTCTCAGCTCATAGATTCTTTTGCTCGGAGGGGATTATCGGTCAGGCAGATGGTGGTTCTGTCCGGCTCGCACACCGTGGGAGTGGGACACTGCGACAAATTCGTTTCTCGCCTCTACAACTTCAACTCAACCTTCTTCACGGATCCCACAATCGACCCGGCATATGCCACGGAGCTCAAGAACATTTGTCCCCAGCACACTTTCAACACCACCATCGAGGTGTTCATGGATGTTATCACTCCCACATCTGCAGGCGTGTTCGAGGCCAACTACTACAAGACACTGCAGGAGCACAAGGGCCTCTTCACATCCGACCAGTCGCTGTTTGACGATACCCGCACGAAGGCCACGGTTACATCGCTGCTGAATAATGAACGATTCCAGAAGGAGTTTGGAAAGGCTATGCGCGCTATGGGAAGAGTAGGAGTCAAGACCGAGGGCCAGATCCGCACCAACTGCAGAGCGGTGAACACATACTAGATGATTCCGAGTAGCTTTTATTGACATTTAAGTAAAAGCAGGCTTTGACTCGTCGGCGCGCGGAGTGCACTCCGAGGCAGAGGAGTTGAGCTGGGCCATGTGCTTTCCCATTTTATGTCTATACATTTTTCAGTAATGAATCAATAAATGTTTTGGTTTTCCATCTATCAGGAGAGCGAATCTGGTACCGGAAGCCCGGGTTTGAGTTTACAGGATAGTAACAAATTTTACTCTCGCAAAGATCTCTGAAGCGCTATTTACCATCTGGATTGTTGATCTAGATGGAGATAAAATTCGTTCGATGACATGCTTAAGGTGTTTCGATAAAACAAATAATTGCTATCTATATTTGATAGTCAAGGCAGCCGTTCTTCATGAACCTTTGAGAAGCTAAATCTGATTTGGTTTATGAGAATGTTGAGTGAGCTAAATGTTTCTCAACAGACTTGAAATAGCTTGATGTGCGATAACACGAGAGCTAGTGCAGTGATTACAAATTTTCTTTCGATTTCAAGTCTATTGCAGTCAATACAAACCTTGTTTGAGTCCAAGTCAAGGACAAGTAAGCATCTGGTTTCTAGATCTAAATGGAAAATACATTCATTTCGATAACATGATGGTGCCGTTCTGAGTCAAAAAAACATTGCCATCTACTGTTGATATTCATGGCTACCAGTCTTGTTTGAGTAGCATGAAGATCTGCTTCTCGAAACGTGATGTCAAAGAGAAAGCAATTATTATAGATGGATAGCTAGGACGTAGTCTGCGCGTCCTGATGACTCAAAAACTCAATGTTACAAAAATGTAGGAAGAATCTCTTGACTTTAATACCGACTAGAAACGTAACACTTAAGTGACGAGTACCACTGTATTCTCACTGTGCCCAGGACACGACGAACGCTTGTTTGAATGGGCCCTCCAGCTACATCTATCTATTGCCGATACATAAAATTTCATCGAGTCTCAGAAGTATCTAGTAAGACTCGAAATCACAGCAAATGGCTTCAATGGCGGCGAAGTACTTTGATTTAACCTGCAAGTAATTCGCCAGTATAGTTTTTCAGTGCCGAGATCTGCAGAACTTTGATCTAAGAAGCGAAAGTTTTGCACATTTAAAATCATGTGAGATTTGACAGGTGGCCAAAATTAGTCATTCCCTTGATCAATAGTGAATGAAAAATCCTTGTATCCCGATCCTTCAATGTTGACAAAGCTTTGCTGCAACCTCATTGAACTCTGATATTATTGTCAAATTATAATCGCGGGCTATCAACGTTCTAGGGCTCCGATCGGGTCGGGTTCAGGTCGGGTTTGATCTTCAACCCGAACCCGAATCGATCCGGGGATTCATG